ACCCTTATCGAGATTGAGCATTTATTAATTAATATCACTTTAACGCGCTCATTCTTTTGTTTAACGGACGTAAACAAAATACAAACGTAAATATATTAAAAGATGTTCTTTCAGAACACAATATATTAAAATATGTCAATTATAAAGTATATATATTATATTTGATATTTATTGTAAGTTTGTCATAAAGAGATATATTTAAACGTATTATTTTATTATTTTCGATTAACAATATCACAATTGTAAATTCAAAAACTAGTTCCTCAAAAAGAAAGTTAAACGATTAATGCGTCATTCGTATAATCAAGAAATATAGAGTATATAGAAAGCGGAAGATATCAAATTCTTTTTATATTTTCGTGCAATGGAAATTATATTAATGTTATTTTTAATAAGTTATTTATTATTATCATTATTATTTATCTTTCTTATTATTATGATTTAAATTTAAATAGCTATTTTTAAGTCTGTAATCTATATGAATGATAATTTTTAAATTGTTCGCGAATGAGATTGGCGTATTAAAATGGTAGTTTTCACTTCCGTCGTACATTATACCAACAGATAGACTCTTCTTATTATTTTTAATCTAAGATCTTTCTAGAAATTTCCGATTCTTTCGATCACACACTGTTTCTTGAACTTTTAATAATAATCTCATATTTAAAAATCAATAATCGAAGAAACAAACAGTTTTTCTTTAAAATAATTATTTGCATTTATGATATATCGAATGTAATCAATGATGTAATATGTAATAATATTAGATGCATAAATAAAAATCTTTTTAAAAAATTCGAAAGCAATACGCTGTAGATCGAACCTTCATTTTTTAAATTGAGACCTCGTTCATCAAAATCGGTTAAGAATTACGCCTGTTCTCATTGATGGCGTAAATGCTGTTTTTGACATTTTTCGCGAAGAAAAAGTTTAGTACTGTGGCGCTCCTCGAAATTTGCGGTAAAAAGAATGAAGCTCGTATTCCTACTACTGCTTTTCATATCAAGCTTGAATGGCATATGTTTATGCTAGCGATTGGCTGCTTGGCTGTGTGTATAAATAGCAGAGCTCAGGTTTTTTAAACATTTCTAAACGCAAAGAAATGGGTTTCACGATGCTTGCACGGAGAAGCTACGGTAACTCACTCGATCATTTTAATGAACTTTAGCCAAATGATTCTATTGCAAACATAAAGAATCCAATAGTTTATGTTAAGGGATCTGAGTTTCTAAAATATTGTTAAATTTTGGAAAACTTTGTAGTTCCTTTTAGATTTTATATACTAAAAAAATGAAGGTTCTACAAACAATGCGTAACACATTGGCAAACATCAAGATTCATAATATAGGAAACGTAGGTTCTCGAGGCTAAATGAATTCAGGTTTTTTTTTATAATATCTATGTAAACGAAAATAATTAATTAATTTACTCTTTTTTCCTTATTTGATAATTTAATAAGATGTTACTATCCAATCTCTTATATTTATTTCCTCCATTGATGGCTGACGTGAATTTTACAGTGATCTATGCTAAATAGAATACAGCAGCGATATAATTTTGTTCGATGATAAATGCATATAAAGTATGTACATTTGTCGATTATTTTTTCAAAATTAATAATTAGTGAACATATTAGTGAATATATATATATTATATATTATTTTTAATAAAGATCAAAACACGAGTTTGTTTCCACATTACGAGATTTTTCTCCCAACGCTATTTTATTATAGTTTTCTCTGTAGAAGTTCACTTCATATTATTGCTATTACTACTGCTATTACTATAATAATAATATGTAATATAATAATATATTAAGAAGAACAGTAATTAGAAGAAACAGAAGAATATACTTATATACATCATGAAACATGATGATGGTAATTTATGTTAACAAAAGAAGGAAAAATTATCCTTTTATGTGGTGGTTTCACGTGCGAATTCTCAATAAATTGTGTCCTTGATAATTTCGACATATGACTCGCCATCGATAGATACATCTAAACAAATGATATATGAAGAAAAGTATGAAACTTTTCTTTTGTTCTCTTCTGTTATTTCTCTTTTTTTTACTACCTTATGATCGCATTGTTTCTATACTGTTTCTTACTCACGATCAGTCGAAGCTAATTGTCTTTACTATTATAATATTACTATTAAATAATATATAGATGTATATAAATAATATTTAAGTACATTTTTATTATTATTATATTATTATTATTATAGACTAATCTTATAGGAAAAAAAAAGCGCTAGTAGTTCTACTTCATAGTGTGGAAATTAACTTATGTTTTAATTTGTATTAAAATAATATAATATATAAATATTCACTAATTATTCTTAAGAAAATATTCGACAAATTCTTATTTTCTGTCATAGATTTATATACTAATTCTTATATATGTCAATTATATTTAGTATTTTCTATGCATTTATCGTAAAACAAATGCGTATCGACGTCGTATCGGATCACTGCGAGATCCACATCGCTACCATCAAAGAAAGATATACATATGAGAGACTGAAAAGTGTGAGTTAATAATATACTGAACTAATTACTCTACCCAACGAAACCACTCGTTATGTCGCGTGAGAGGGGAATAACCACAAGCTTATACACCGACGTGATAGACGCATGGTGGGAACAGCGTTTCCCTCTTATATTCATAGTTTATATTTTGTTCATATCTGAAGTCATACATACTTTGAATAAAAAGTAGTGAACAGTCTTAAATAATACCTAAATGTGTATAAATAATATTTACGTACAGTTTTATTATTATTATTATTATTATTATATTATATTATATCATATTATTATTATTATTATAAGTAGTAGTAGTATAGTATAGTATTAGTAATAGTATAGTATTATTATAAGTAGTAATAGTGGTAGTAAAGGGTTAATTAATATCGATGCCTTCATTGAAGTCAAATGCCCAGCTTCAATGAAGAATATGACATCAATGGAAGGAACTGAACATAAAAAAATTATGTTCATGCACCTGCTGAAATTAAAAGACTCTGACAAGTACATATACCAAATCTTGGTCTAAGCAGGTCTTTTTTACATGCCACTCAAATGTATGAATAACACAATAGTGTTATTTTATTCTTTGTACTCCAAAAAAATAATTGTTGATAAAAAAAAAAAAATGATCGCCTTGGGTCAAATAAAATGGAAGAGAAGCTTATGGCTTTTTATTACAAGTGCCTTCTATCCGAAATTGTTGATTCCCGTAAAGTTCATAATCTTCTGATTTGAGAATCGCTGCGTATTTTAGAAGCATAATGTGCTTATGACGATCAATCCTAGGTTTTCAAATACTAACATGCTGCCATTGTCTTTACTATTAAAATATAACATGTATTAAATAGTATTTAGGTGTATATAAATAATATTTAAGTACATGTTTATTATTATTATTATTATTATTATTATATTATATTATATTATATTATACTATTATTATTACTATCAGCAGTAGTAGTAATAGTGTAATAGTGTAAAATGGACTAATTCTACAAGGACCAATTCTACAATACCAAGTAAAAAAAGCGCTGAGAATTCTACCTCATAGGTAAGAATACATGTTTTAATTTATATTTAAATAATATAATATATGAATATTTACTAATTATTTTAAATAAAATATTCGAAGAATTCTTATGAGTTAATTATATTTATTATTTTTTATGCATTTATCGTAAAACAAATGCGTACCGACATCGTATCGGATCACTGCGAGACCCACGCCGCTATCATCAAAGAAAGATATACATATGAGAGACTGAAAAGTGTGAGTTAATAGTATACTGAACTAATTACTCTAATTCACATGAAAATGAACAAATTAAAAGTGAAGGTGATTTGTTCGACACTTCCGAAGTTCCACACTTTCGAAGTTGAAAGTAATTATTGACATCGATGATGAAAAAGAAAACATTTTGAATGCCCGTAAAGAACAAAAGCGTTGAAGAATTTTATCAGATTCTGAAAGTGATAGTGATCAAGTATACTGAAGTGGATCTTGATGGAACTGTCTGGTAAAAAATAATTAAAGGTTTAACAATCAGAAAACCATCAAGAAAACCATAGTTTCAAACAAGTATTAGTTTCAATGGCATATGCCAAACGAAATATAATAGTTGGTAAAATCGAAACAGTATTTTCTGTAATAATTGATACGAAAGCAGAAGTATTGCAAGTTTTAGGGACTAAATGGAATTTGCTAATATCAAAAATATATGCCTTTATTGCGATTCTATACGCACGTGTTGCTTATCAAGCAATCAATTTAACTATTTTCTATCTATGGAATTCGAAATGGGGACCTGTTTTTTTTTTTACTAAAATTGAACAGGTACACTTTCACAGAAATTTAAAAATTTCTCCGATATGATGAAAAAGGAAAACGTACAAGAAACATCAAGTGGCGAATGTAATTTGCATTCGCAGAAAGCATGCCAGATACGATTTTGCAAAGATAATAAAATAATTAAATCTTACATAATTTGTAGAACATTTGTCTGCGGTAAATGTATGAAGGAGAAACTTATTATTTGCAAAAAATGCAATTGAGAAAACAAAAACATTTTTTATTTATTTCTAAATTATGTAAAAGGTGCACCTATGATTTGTTTATGTTCTATTATATTTATGTCCTATTTATGATACATTAAAAATAAAAATATATGATTGGTTATTTTATTATTATTATTTAAAAGTTATGTTATGCATTATTTCTTACAATAAATTGACAGTTCCTTCCAAAAAAACAACATTTATTTCATAAGTAAGAATAAGTATATGTGAAATGTCGGTACGGTCAGTGTTAAATGTTTTATTAATATTTGATATTGAATATTTTATTAATTACAAAATTACTTTATTATTATATGGATATGAGAGGAAAATTAATATTAAAGATATAACAACTAAATTACAATGCTTACAAATATGCAATATATAATAATACAATATATGTTATATAAATCATATTATACAATTAAAATTATTGTTTATTTAGTTCTGCGTATAATCATAATAAATTATTGAAGTAAAGATTTATTCAAAGTTTCTGGATCATATGGTATATTTCTAACATTACCAGGAAGTATCATTGGCACTACTTTAACGCGAAAATCATAAGGAAGAAAATCGTAACAAAAATTATAAAAATCATTACGTGTATGAATAATACCTAAATTTGCCATTTTTTTCATTAAATTATTTAAAATGGTTTCGTAATCTTCGTATTTCTTAGACTTTGTAATAATGGATACAATGTCAGATAGTTCTTGCACAAATTTTTCAGAATGCACTCTTGTTAATAATTTGCTTTCTGGTTCCATAATTTTCCAAAGAAAACGATAAAGACGATCGGTTACCCAATATTTTGGACGTGGAAGTTTCGGTCTTTTATACACTTGTCCATTCACTATATAAGCTTCATTAATTTTATCTCTTGTAGAGTATTTTTGTTTTTCTTCATTTCTGAGTTTTTCTATTTTTGCTATTATTTGCTTCTTTTTTAATTGTAGGTCTTTTGGTTTGGTAAGATGCACATTAACTGCCTTACTAATAATTGTTTTCTGCGTTTTATTCAATCTTGCCTTGATTTCTTCATCTTTTTTAGTATTACTCAGTTGAAAACGTTTTGATTGTCTTGCTTTGGTTGAAGAAACCAACTTGGAATTTGTAACCGTAAAGTATTCACTAATTTTTTTTTGGTGATCAGTATTAATTGAATTTAATATTTTATGATTACGTTCATCTATATAGTGTTCATTATCATTTTGTTCATTATCATCAGTAACAACATCTATTGTTCTTAAAGATTTTTGATTTAAGCTAAATGCATTTATATATAAGTCCTTTGCTTGTATCTTGTCATTATCTTTTAAAACATTTTCTTCATTCAACTTAGGAATATCTTGTATTTTTGTATTCTCAGATGTAGACATCTTTGCTTTTAATGTTGTATTTTTACTTACATCTGTTATTACATTTGCTATGTGCACTGATTTATTACTACTATTTATTGTATGTATTTGATTTCCTGAAAAAATACCTACTTCAGTAATATTAATTGAATTATAATCTGTGGAATTTCTACCATGCATACTATTGTTTGTATTGTTTGGTTCGGATGATATTCTGAATGAAGTTTTTTTATTTTCCAAATTATTGGTTTCTCTAGATTTAGAATTAGACAAATTCATTGAATTTTTTGCTGCTATATTGATAGATAATGTTTGAAATATATTATTTTCATTATTACTTTTGGCCATCAAATTCCTTTCATCCATACTTTCATGTTCTGATGCATAAATTGTTTTTCTTACATTAGAATTATTTATTCTGAAATTTTTACTATTCTCCATTCTACTATTATTTGGAGTATGTATATGTCTTATATTTGCTAACGATGTTTCTCCTGTATTGATAGTTTCGTGATTTTCAATTTTCTTATTATTTGTTGTAGAATCATTACTTTTTTTAAGAGAAGTGCTAGGATACATAGTCAAATTTGCATTTTTTTCCACTACAGAAGATTGTTTTTGATTTATAGAGATATTTGCAGAAACATTTTTATGTGAAGGTTCATGTGTATGATTAGGTTGAATTTCTAAATTATCATTTTCATTAGTATTATTTAAAAGACTAAAACTTGAATCAGAACGATTAAGATAAATGAGATTACCGTCGTGTATTGAAATATTTGGATCTATGATAGATTTTTTTAATGGAATTGTCTTTGATTTATTTTCTTCTGTTGATATGTCAAAAACATTTTCTTTTGATGTCTGTTTTCTTTCGATTAATTTAGCAAAGAAACTTTTAGACATCGTTTCAGTTCTTTCTGTTTTATTATGTAAATCTTCATTTGATTTTAGTAGATTTTCAAACGCATTTTCACTTGTTTCTTTATATTTTTTTCTAAAAACATTTGGCTTTGATTTTAAGATTTTATCTATGGTGTGACTTTGATCAATACTTGTTGCAATACTATCGTTACTCTTTCTACTCATATGTTTCTGTTTAGGATCCAATTCTTGTAGTGATTTTTTATTAGTGGGTGCATCATTTATAAGCTTAGAAATAGAATTTTTTTTCATTGATGCAGGAGATTCCGAATTTCTTGTATCGTTTAATGCTTTTAAAAAGGCATTACTTTTACTTTTTTTTGATTTATTACGCATTGTAATTTTTCTTTTTTGTAATGGTGGATTATCTTCATCTTCATCCGTATCAGATGTAATCATTTTTTTAAATTCCAATGAAACTGCTACTGCAAAAATAGAGGGTTAAAGATGAAACAATATGGGGACATTCTTTCATTTTCTTATTTTATTTATATTTTACCTGATCGTTTTTTGTTTTGTACTATTGGTAAGTTATTTAAAACTTCAGAATCTGATGTTTCTAACATTTTCCACCATTCATGATTTGTACTAGTTGATTGCATTTGTGAATCAGAATCTAAATATTTACTTGTCTCATTTGTTGCATTGTATTTTGGCAAATGGGAATTAACATTGTTTGTCAAGTTATTCCACCAAAAAGGTTCTTCTAAAATAGAAGAAAATTTAAATAATTATGATTAAAGTTGTTTGAGATGAAATGTTAACAAAAGTGAACTTATATCTAAATGATAGTAGACAAAAGCAGACAAAAGTAGCAGACAATAGTAAATAGAAGAACAATACATATTTTATTAAATGTACATATAAAATATATACCCTCTTCAAATACTTCTGAATTTGGATCCAGAAAGCCAGATCCTGCACTAGATCGATGACTGTATCTAGACATGCGTTTATTGATACTTTTTCTCTTAGACATGATTCAGGATATTCGATCTTAATAAAAAAAATTATTATTAGATATTGACATTATATTGTTATAAACATGTATCATACGTATTTGATATTAGTAATATTACAGGTTATGTTTAGTTCTTCATATAAGAGATGTCAATTAAAATCTTTTACACGATAATTTTATTATAGATATATTTGAAATATGCAATAAATTTTTCACCATATATTTTTTTTCTATAAATATTAATAGGAAAATAATACTTCTTGCACTTTTTTTACTTTCATTGCGTTTATTGACGAAAGAATGTTTTTGTATACGTTTTAAAGTTGCCACCTAGCGATAGAAATAAAAAGTTCCTTCGATGATTCTTTTTTATGTATCATCATACGATAACTAATCAACATACCAAAAGAATTGCAACATTTGAATCATCCAATTTCTGTTTCTTTTGTAAGATAGCGACACTAGTTAACGCTTAAAAAATAGTTATTTTTTTCAAGAATAAATATCATTGTACACATGGAAGAAGAGAAACAGCACAAAAGTATTTACGTACATGATGTAGAAAGAATAAAAAACGGTAACAATAATATTCTTATAAAAATTACATTTTAATAAAATTATGGAGAACAAGTAATATTAAGTATTTCTAACGTGAAGGAAATCTAATTTGATAGAAAAAGTTGCACTTTTTGTAGAATTACTTTCGAAATAGGTAGATTTTGGGATGGGTCTCGAGATTAAGCTTTTGAAACAAAGATTGATCCAAGGAACGTTGCAACGGACTTTTCTCTCCGCGATCGAAGAAATACGAAGTCTTGCGACGAGTTGAATTTTAACGAGCATGGAACATCGAACTTCCCGTGTATCGCGACGTGGGCTGCAATTTCGCAATCTATCCGGTACACGTTTCATGGAAGGGTGTTGAATGGAGGAGTGCGAAGATAAGATAAAAAGGCGGTAAAAAGTAGGTGGAGAAAGAGAAGAAGAAAAAGAAGAAAAAGAAGAGAAAAGAAATAGGAGACATAGGAGGGCAGGAGAAAAGAAGAAGGTCGAAGGAGATCCTCAGTCCACAGAAAGGCTCTATTTGGCCATGGAAATCGGTAAAGGAGGTCAGCGTATGCAAATAACAGGGTCGTGAGGGTTGCCAGAGCCAGGAGGGTCCCATGGGTCAACGGACAGAAGGGTATAGCGACGCTGTGCAGCCCTCTCTTGTCTGTATCGCCTTCAGCTCACTCCCACTCACTTACCCTCTTTCTCGCTTTCTCTCCCTTGCCTCGTCCCACCACTTCTTTCTCCCTCTCTCTCTCCCTCCCTCTTTCTCTCTCTCTTCCCCTCTCTCTCTCTCTCTCTCTCTCTCTTTCTCACTCTTTATCCTTTTCTCTCTCGTACTCTCATCTACAACACTCGCTCCATCCTCCTTTCCATCATTTCCTCTTCGTCTTTTTCCCCACTCTCATCTCTCTTTTTCTCTCTCTTTCTCCCCCTTTCTACTCGTTCCCTCTATCATTTCTCCTTTCCCCGTTACTCCCTCCGCGATTCCACGAGTTCTCGCAGCAGCAACCGTTACGGCCCCATATATTTCCACGGTTGGCGGTGGTGGTGGCGGTGGCTGCAGCAGAGTCACGTCTATGGACATAAAGGTGGCTCTACTACGCCTCTCGTACCCGACGTTCGCCTACGCCCGTGGAAATATTCGATTTTTACGATACGAAACGCGAAGCAGGGGCTTCAGCACGCACACCAAAGGGCCCTCTCTCTCTCTCTCTCTCTCTCTCTCTTTCTCTCTCTCTCTCTCTCTCTCTCTCTCTCTCTCTCTCTCTCTCTCTCGCTCGCTCGCTCTTATACGCCCGGCAACCTCCGTGTCGCGTCCTGCACACTTTTTCGATTCACCGATTTCAACTTTTCCATTTCTCTTCTCTCTCTTTCGCTCTCTTTTCTTATACTACGTCGGGGAACGTCGATTTTCGAGCTCGTAAAATTCGAATTTTACGAAGAATCTACTTACGACTTATGCTGTGAACATTCATTCATACAGTTTAGCTTTCACTTCGACAAAGAATCATTCGTCTCTTATACGATAATTATTCGAACAATGTACGAAGTCGCGTCTTCTCCTTTACTTTTCTTTATCATATCTTTTTTTGTTTTTGTTTTCATGGGAGAGAGATGGTGATCGTGGAAGCAGAATTACGAATTAGAGATCGAAATGTTCGTACTCGGCTCTCTTTTCCCAACACAGTGGGAAGCGGGAAAGCTTGAGCGTGTCTCGTGCTGACTAATCCGCTGAGTGTTAATTAAAATAAAGGCTCGCGGCGCGTATGCGGGCGCGCAGAAATTAGCGTCTGGCTTTTTGTAGAATGGACGCGTGTGGTGAGATGAAGAGGGGGAGAGAGAGAGAGAGAGAGAGAGAGAGAGAGAGAGAGAAAGGGGGGGGAGAGAGAGAGAGAGAGAGAGAGAGAGAGAGAGAGAGAGAGAGAGAGAGAGGAGTGGACGAATAACCAGATGTTCACCCTTTTGTTAGCGACTTTCCACGAAGCATCGCACTCGCATTTTTGTACGCTCTCGTTGGTTACTTAGAGACACTCTCCACCCTGCGGAATATTTTCTACTTCCATCGTTAAAATTATCTTCTAAATTTATGTTACTTTTTTAAGTATTCTTTGAACAGACACGAGATTCTTGCTCGTTAAAATCGAATTCAAATTAGATCAATAAAATTATTTTTAGTTTGATTCGAAATTCGAATAAATTTAAATGGTTAATCGTATTTATGACTGACAAATACACTTAAGTGTCTGCAGTAGTATATCAATATTTGTTCAAAAAGAGTGACCATATTAGATTTTAATAAGAGTACTTAAATATATGTCTCTCTCTCTCTTTCTTTCTCTGTGTTAGAATTATAAGATTAATTTTTGTATAACATCAATAGATATACTTCTTGTTGATTTTCTTTTCTTTTTTATCAAGACGACTGCTCGCAGTAATTAACGAAGATAATTATTTTGTCGCATCCTCCTTATTCTCCCTTTTTTGCTGTTTATTTTTTCTTTTTCTTCGGGGACAGACAACCGGTACTTTGTGAACATTCACGAAACAAAGAAAATATACGTGATATCGTTAAGGATCGATAGAATGTACCGGTGGGTAGTAGTTTTCGCGCGAATCGAAAGTAAGCGAGAGAGAGGGAAAGAGAGAGAGAGAGAAATATATAGAGAAAGAAAGAGAGGAAGCGAGAACGAGAGAGAGAGAGAAAGAAAGAGAGGAAGCGAGAATGAGAGAGAGAGAGAGAGAGAAAGAGAAAGAGAAAGCTGCTGGCTCGGCGCGTTAAATTCGTGGGTTTTCTGCGGATCGGCGTACGGTTTGATGGCTAGGGTTGGGCGGTAGCCACAAGTGTCTGCCCGAGCGCCCTCTCTCATTAATTCTCTACCCTTGTTGCTTGTTAAGGTAGGGGTCGGTTTGTCCCTGCCTCCACGGACGCCCCCGAACATCCCTCGGGCCACCCCTTTGCCTCGTCCTTCCTTCCTTCCTTCCTCCTCATCCTCCTCCTAGTCAACTCACTTTTCTGGCCGAGTCAGGAGGGTGGAAATGCTTCCTCGAGTGTGCGCTGAAGAAGGAAGATGAGGTGGAAAAGCTGCCGATGGAGGTGGTGGTGATGGTGGTGTTGCTGCTGCTCGAAAAGAGGAGGGTAAGACTGAGATAGAAGATAAGCGAGAAAGAAAAAGAGGAGCAAACGGAAAATGAAGTAGAAGTGTGACGGGGGAAAGATGCGAGAGAGAGAGAGAGAGAGAGAGAGAGAGAGAGAGAGAAAGAGAAAGAGTGGGTGTAAGGTAAGCTATCTGGTACGAATATATTACGTATACCCGTTAAGTGGCTGATATAAATCGAACGTGCTGGACGGTAGGCGTACATGTGACTGTAAAAGAGACGATTAGCACTTCATTTCTTTTATTTGATGCCTTTTCCATAATACCGTCGATTACTTGCATACGTTCATACATACATATCAAATATACATACATCTACCTACACGTATCGTGTATAAAATGAAAGCGCACGTAATCTGATAAGCTCGTTTGCGAAAGCGAGAAGCTCGTTCTCGATCTGTCCGCGTAATAATACTTACGGCTTTATTAGCGCGTCCGCTAATTGCATATCGTGCGATAATAGTTAAAGCACGCGTTTCACTTCTCGGATATTTATCTTTCCCGAGACCTTTGCCTTTTAACGATCCGCTTGCGCTTGTGAACGGAAGATGATAAACGAGAACGGGACGAGAATTCGTTCGGGACGAATATCCATCCATTAACAAGTCCATATTGCTTTCTGTTCCTTCGGAAAAACTTTTTCCCCTCTTATCTCCGTTCCACCTTCATCCCTTCTCTTCCTTTACCACGTTCCTTCTGCGTGGCATCCTTCCTTTTCGATAACGACTCTGCCATACCCCTCGTTCCCCCTTTTGCTCCTTCCCTTGCCATCTTTCCAGGAAACCCTTCAGTGCGCGAGAGCAAAGTTATGAGGGAAGATGGCTGGAAGGTGAAGGGGAAGAGAGAAAGAGAAAGAGAGAGAAAGAGAGAGAGAGAGAGAGGGAGAGAGAGAGTTGTACGTTGAATTAATTTGCGCTTGGTTGAGGGCCTCCTACCGTTCCAAATTCTCCCTTCTCTCTTTTTTTCTCTCTCATACTAATACTATCTTATTCTTTCTCCGTTTCTTCGTCGACTTTACTGCAAGAGCAACGGAGGTAGCACTGGTGTCGAATCTCCGGCTCCTTTCTCGGCTTGCTTTAAATACTGCTACGGAACCTGGCGAATGCAAACGAATTGTCCGAGAAACAAGCTCCGGCCGTTCTGGTCGCGAATTAAGGTGGCCTCTCTCTCTCTCTCTTTCTCTCTCTCTCTCTCTCTCTCTTTCTCTTTCTCTTTCTCACACATATACTTATGTATATATATAGAAATGCAAGCCAGACGATATGTCTCTCCTTCTTTTTAGTTCGTTCTACCCTCCTCCCATCCTTCCTCGTTGGCCCGATTGCAGAGAGTCACCTTCGGGGATATTCGCCGTCCGGTCCGACAACTTCGAGAAAGACTGGTTGTATCTCTCTTTCTCGGCGATCTCCTTCCTTGTCCTCTCGGAATCCTGTTATCGTACACAGCTATCTACCGAGTCGACTTGACTTAGAATCGTCTCTTTCTCTTTCCTTCTCTTTTACAGTAGAACCTTACAATTAAGCCTTTTCTTTGGCAATAATCATTCTACGTATTCTGTCCAATATTCTGTTCTGTTCCAATCGATCCTACAAAGTCGGACGGGAAATTCTAGCTT